ATGCATGTAGTTGACCAGATAACCCATAAGCCCAAATTTATTGGTTAATCATGTATCTACATGTTGACATCTCTAGTAATTGCTCTCTTAGCCCTCAAGGTGGTCTCTCTCTAGCTTAAAATGGGGAACTTGCACTGCAGCTGCTTGTTACACATATCCAATGGTAGACACAATTTCAGTCTTCAGGTTGTCATTCCCACAAGCATTATTCATTTACTGACACCTCCTCTAAGTCCTCCATAATGAAAAATATATAGATGACATCACCTTCACTTCTCTCTCCACCGACATTGCTAAGGGTCTCTACATCCAGGCACTCAGATGCTATTGTGCCAGGCACACTATAGGTATCTAGATAAAAAGATTACATAGAAATTAGATGCTGGCAGCCTTTTGCTTCTTACCAAGATTCTCCAAACAGCTTTCACTCAGCTAGCTTTAACTACAATAGGCATTTGAAAGAGCATTGCCTCAGAAGATATTTACAGGGAAAATCACGAGAAGAGCAAACCACTATGATATATACATTCTTAAAAAAAAAAAAAAAATCAGTACAAACTCAGAGGCTTTAGTCAAACTGTGTCATGAAGGCTGGCCAATCCCACCCAGTTTAGTTATATAAAACTCCCTCAAAAGAGGTGTTTAATGACTATTAAAAATGCTTTATTAAAAAAAAAATCTTACTTTTTTCTTTTTCCATCCTTTGAAGTAGTTGCATACATGTACGTTGTGCTTCAAAAAACAGTTAGAACATTACTGCACTAAATCCAGGCTAAAATAGAACATTATGAACTTGCTGTCCTAGAACCTTATTCCTCAATTTATTATATTGCTCTTAGAGAAAGTGCCAGATTCCATGCTGAATGAGGGGCATAGTTAAATTTCCAATGAAAACCAATATTCAAGCAACAAGAAGCAAATCTTCAGTTGCCAACAATTCTTTATTGTTGCAATGTTATCTCTCCAAAAACCTTAGCACCTCCTTTGGTCTCATGAAACCACTTTTCATTCTCCTTTGGGCCAAGAAAATTCCATTTCTCTGTAAGTTAAAAAAAAAAAGAATTTTGAAGTAATTTATAGTGATTGTTTTCCAAGACCTAGCAACCAGCATTATTTGCCACCAGAGAGAGACCAGAAACATGAATGTAATAAAGAGTACACTACCACTAAAATGAACAGTTTTAAAATATATTTAAAAGGATATTATCTAAGATCCTATTATCCCAAGGAAAGAAAGCAAAGATCTGTTGTTGTTTTTTAAATCAAGTTGGGCATTTGCCATCAAACCCCAATATCCGGTAATATAAGAGGATCTAAGCTTGCACACAATGCTTAATTGCATGCCCATTGACTTAACCGTAGTATGTGAGACGTCTCACTTAAGCACGTGCTTAAAATGTAGCTTTAAAATGTGGCTTTAAAGTGCTACATAGTCCTGTATTTTGTTTAAGCACGTGTACGACTGATTGCAGGTTGAGGACTAGGAATACGGACATGTTGGAGTGTCTGTTTACCACTGATTTGTAAAAGTGTGGGGAAATGCTCTTTAAATAAGAACTACTCCAAAAGATCTGGCACAGATTTGCAATCTAGCCAAAGAAAGAAAATTTCAATAATCACAGCTAGGTTTGACCCCTCCCTTAACTGCATTTTCCGGTTCTGTTTTTTGGAGGAGAGAGGGGGACGAAATACATTAGGCAAGACCGCCAGCTGTTAACTGCGGAGATATTCCCGTTCAGCTCCAGCCCGCTTCCCGGGCCAGGCCCGATCCCGCTGCCTCGCTAACGATCCCGCACAGAATCAGCTTCCAAAACCCGCAGGGGCCGGGGAGGGGACAGACCGGGCACCGCAGGGCCCCCCCCCCAGCCACTAGCAGCGGAGCGAACGCGGCAACCCCGGCGCTGGACACGGTACCTTCGCAGGCGACCACCCATTAGCCCTTCGCTCGCCCCGTTACCCGAACGGGCCACACCCCTCCTGTGGGCGTGACTAGGCTCTGCCTCGGGAGCGGAATCTGCCCCCCCCCCCCCCAACGTTCCAGACCTTCCTTCCGTTGGACTCACATGGCCGCCAGGCGTAGGCTCCCCCAACTAGCGCCACTCAGTCACCAATCAGCAACCACAGCTCGCCGGCCATGAGGCGGGGTTTGAACCCGGTGTCGCTCGAAAGCGATGAAAGGATTGGACGCACTCGAATGCCTGCGCGTGCGCAGAGTAGCCGGCGCGCGCGCATCAGGGGTGGAGCAAGGGGAAGCCAATGGCTATCCCGAAGGGCAGCTAGACGGGGCTAGCGGTTCGTGCGCCGTCCTCACTTTTCATTGGCTGCGAGTGGCCTTTCGTGTTGCCGTAGGGTGGCCAATGAAATCGGGCCATCACGACTAGCTCCTGAGGAGCGGCGGTGGCGGCTAAGGT